CTCTGGAAAATTATTATTTGCAGATGATCTAAAAATTTTCTCTCCAATTGACAGCCTGAGTGATTGTGAAAATCTGCAGACTAATTTAACTACTGTTCAAAGATGGTGTGCTAAAAATGGTTTAAGTTTAAATGTGTCTAAATGCAAATGTATTACATTTACCCGTAAACTGACTCACTTTCGCATATGCAATAAACCATACAGCACTGTTACGATGTTTCTCTGTCACAGATCTGGGTATAGTGTTGGATTATAAATTTACTTTTTTCGACCATATTTAAACTAAAGCTAGTGAGGCAAGTACGGTTTACGGCTTTATAGTGAGGAATTGTAAAGGATTTGATAATATAAACGCCCTACTCACATTTTACTATGCTTACATACGCTTAAAACTTGAGTACGGTTGTTTAATCTGGTATCCGTTTTACAGTGTCCACAAAATTATAATTGAAAAAGTTCAATGAAGGTTTTTAAAGTATGTAATGTTTAAAATGGACGGAACCTATCCAGTAAGAGGGTTTGACCATGGAGTGCTACTGAGTAGATTCACCATGCAAAGCCTGGAGCATAGGAGAGTATTGGCTTCTCTGTTATTCTTGTTCAAATTGATACACGGGAAGATCGATTGTCCTCACTCTCGAAATTGAATTTCTTGGTTCCCAGACTCCAAAGCAGGAACAACTTAACATTTTATTGTACTAGAGCAAAAATCAATATTCTCTTGAGATCTCCGATAACTATAATGTGTAGAAATTTCAATAGCATTGATCGAGAATGTGATATTTTCAACTGTACTCCCAGCTGTTTGCAGTCAGTTGCTTCGGGTGTGTTTGCTGCTATATTTATTATAATAATTTTATGGATTATTATAATATTGTTTATTTTGTGTTATTTTTGTATGAAATTGCTCTGTAAATGGGTAACTTGGGCAATAAAGCTATTATTATTATTATTATTGACAAACTTTTCATCATGCGAATTTGCATCGTTGCTGTTAAAACTCGGCCTACCTAGGTTACGGATAACGTAAACCTCCAATCATAGGATTCATTACCATTAACACCACCTAAGATAAGATACTTTGACGCAATCATTTTGTTTACTAATCTGTTCTCACAGAAATCACAAACCTGCTTATTTCATTGCGTGAAAATAATCAGAAAACTGTTTGTTAGCGATTTGCCACAGTTCAATTTAAATTATTATATACCAGTAACATTGCGATAAACTTCTTCTGCCTAGACAGAAAAAGTCCAGTTTTTCTGATTAGGAAGTAAAAATACACCTTTCAGGCCTGTCAAGTGTTATTAAAAAGCCACTTGTGATATCATTCAGAGAAAAATGTTATTTTAATACTCAGAAGTCGGAAGGTTTTTGTTTGTAAATATTATTTTGACACGTAAAGTTTTTGTTTAGGTACCTAAATCTTTTTGAAAATTTACAAAAGATTTTATAGAGTAATAACTTTTTTTATTATACCTAGTACCAGGAACGTTAGGAGTTTATTGATACCTGATACTTGTTTTTCAATTGAGAAAATTATCGCAGTTCCGAGATGTACGAATTCTACAAATCCCAAAATTTCGAGGCGCGTCAAGGTGCTAAATCATCGAATATTTTTTCAGATAGTGGAACAATTCCTCAATTTTCTAATACCGTTCCTGCCAAATACTGTCTCAATGTTTTTTTTTTTTTTTTTTTTAATCAAGCAAGTTGAAAATTCAAAAAATCAGCGGTACTTTGACTTTCAGATGAAGAAGTGGTAGGACTTATGTTTTTGAAAGGAAATTTGGTCAGCTTAGGAAGATGTTTGTGTAAATGGCATTGATTTGAAGCGGTTAGTGCTCTCATATTATTTTGTATATACATATAGGTACCTATTTTAACCAACCTTATATAATTTGATAATTAATTCCCAAGTACATAATAAATAAATTTATATTTTTAAATCTAATCATTTTATTCAAATAAGTAACGAGTAAGTCTATAGTCCCCATCAGCCAGCATCAAATAAAATAAGACAATATTTGATCAATATCAAGCGACATCATATCAGTTTCTTTTTGAATTTTTTGGAAAAACCCAATTTTCAAAATGAGAATTTTTCATGGTCTTATCATAGTGTTATAGACCGGAGTTGACCGATGCCACTTATGTTATGAACCCGGAGTTTTCCGCTGGCTCCAATGTTATAAATCTCGGACTATTTCTAGGCCTTGTACTGTACTTATTATCCGGTATAAAGTAAAAGTAAAACTCGAAATAACTTAGAAGAGTAGTTTATTTTGAGTGATATGAAAAAGTTATGTTCCAAAGCGACTGTTACGACCCGACTTTTCGCTATCGATGTTATAATGTGACTGCCTTAACTCTAATTCTAAAACCTAAAAGTAACCTAAAGGGCTAGGGCAATTCTCACCATCTGGAATAATAAAATTAGGAAAAAGTATTGTGTCTTTGGCGGCAAAAATACATGGGTTATATTTATTTATATTATATGTTATATGTTACAATAATTTGAGTTTCTGCAATAATAGAGGTACCGAATACCGACAAATGGAAACATCTTGTTGGGATATTGATGTTTACAGGACATTGGTTGTAAAATAATTCTATCCGGCACATCTTTAAAGCCTAAATAATCAATGAGTTATTGAGTACCTACCTAATTGATGGGGACTAAACCTAATAATAGATGATGGAATTTGTTAAAGAGAGGAATTGTGATGAACATATGTAATTGTTATTAATAATAAATGTTGAATTTACTGGTTCACAACAATAGGAAAAGTTCTAAAATTTGACCACATTGGGTTTATCTTATCAACAGGCAACTATATGCCGACCATAATTAATTTTTCGTCAAACGATGCCCATAGACTAGAGATATCTAATGATCAACCAATATCAATTTTGAGTTAATTTATTATATTTGACTATGGTAGACCATCATCTGATGCGATGGTCACCGCCAAAGCAATATGTACAGAATTGGACAGTTGATGCTAGATTTTACAGTGCTATTCGGAAAAAAGGGCTATCGCGTTAATTCTAGATTTTACAAGAATAGATAACGGATATATAAAGGCCGGTATCAGTTAGTAGTTTTTAAGTTTCAAGACTTGGCTGTGATTATTGTGAGAGTTGTAGAGGTAGCTTGTTTGAGTTAATTAGTGAAGTAATTATAGTGTCAGAGTGTGTAGTAACGTTGATAAATTATTGTTGTGTTAATTGGACGTTGATTTTGGAATAAACAGACCCAAGATTTTTGACACGCACCCCAGAGCCGTGACATTGGTTCAGAAGTGGAATATAATTTCGAGGACTGCAAAGTGAAATCCGATAGCAAAATAGTGCGGACACTATTGAGTAGTGTGGATACTAAATGAACACTCGGACAGTTAGTCAGTGTAAGCAGTGACAATCACCAAAAGAGACTTAACCGATTGTGTAAATTACCCTCGAAGTGACTATATATCCGATTTTGACTGTGATGGTGAATTTTCGAGTAATTTCTAAAAAATTCTATTCGAAAACCAAGGAAGACATCGAATTTATGACTTCACCGACATGTTTACCATATCAATCGACATTCAGAAAAGACATTTCAAGAAAATTCTAGAACATTCTATTCGAGAATGAAGCAGGTTATCCAATGACTTCACCGACTTGTTTGGAAGTTGAAGCAAAGACAAGGAAAGATATTTGAAGAAAGTTTGGGAAAAATTCCAGAACATTCTGTATATGCCTATTACGAGACAACAAGCAAAAATAGAAGAACAAAAAATTGAAGAACTTCTGCGCAAAATGTTGGAACTTCAAGAGACTAAATGACAACAAGAAAAACAAGACGAAGAGGCTAGGCGACAAAGAGAAAACTGCCTTTAGTACTGGAAGCGTGTTATACCAGTTTAACGTAATGCCTTTCGGATTGTGTAATGCGCCCGATACGTTCGAGCGACTGATGTATCTAGTTTTACGAGGCCTTACATGGAGAACTTGTCTGGTATATTTAGATGATGTCATGATCATGACAAATTCATTCCAAGAACATCTCAATAACCTGAAAGAAGTTTTTGACCGCTTTCGGAATGCCAACTTAAAACTTAATCCAAATAAGTGTTTTCTATTTGAAAAGCAATTGGAATTCTTAGGTCACGTGTATCTCAAGATGGCATTCAAGTTATGGAAGGAAAAATAGATGATGTTAGGGATTGGCCAAAACCACGCGACAAACATGAACTAATCAGTTTTCTAGGATTATGTTCTTATTATCGAAGATTTGTGGAAGGATTTGCCAATATAGCTGCTCCGCTTCATCGATTAACGGAAGAAAAATCAACGTTCAATTGGACTCAGGAATGCGATTCCGCTTTTAGAAAATTGAAAGGAGCATCATGTACAAGCCCAGTGTTGTCCTATCACGGTCAGAAAGGCATTTTGGGGGGAGTATTATTGAGCTAGCCAAGCCAGAAATCCTGAGAAATCACATACACATGCAAATTAAAAATAGATTTGTCCTGGAATCATGTAGATACATATTTCTTGACTTTTCAAGCGATTAAATTGATGTTGCTCTATTCTCAGACAATGTAAGCGAAAACTAAGGAGGCCGAAATTTATTGAAATATTTAGGTATGTAGGTTATATTGTTTCATTATATGCTTAAATTGAAAAATTTAGATATGGACGATTGCAGCACTCCAAGAACCATACAAAAACTTATCAAGAGAAAACATGTCGTTAATAAAGACTAGAACTTGTACACTCCTGTGTAGATACTCCTGAATTGAGGATACCCTCACCTACTACCTACTAGAGGTGTAGATATTTGAAAATTTATTTACACTTTCAGTTGTTAAAAATTTTCTAAAATTTAATAGATAAAACTAGTTGAATTTATTTCCATATAAAATATAAAACACTTGTTCAATGTTAAAAGCATCACTCTATAAATTGAGAAATTTTCAATTGAAAAAAAAACTAAATAAATCACTTGCCTCGGTCGTCTGTATAGTTCCAAGATAAACTATCAAACATACACCAATAAGCACCAAACGCATTTTGTTAAATTTTCTTAACACATCTCATTTGATACTGACAATTGCCACCGATTTCTTACTATTTAAACGAATTTTTACCAGTGCTCCATTGTTTATTGTAAAGCCAAAATAAATATTGTAATGTAAAAATTGTGTATTGAAACTTTTAGGTTGCTAACTACGAGTTTTATTGGTATTGCCAGGAACGGACTAATCAGTGTTAGGAGCTTTTTTTTTGTAGAAAAACTGGAAAATTCTTTTCAAAATTTAGTGATTCTTTATTACATATTTGGTATTCTGACATCATAATTAATTTTTCACTTCTTTTCCATAAAAGATATCCATTAGCCATTAGCTTTTAATTTTTTAACGCATTAACAAACATTATAGGTAGGGGAGGCTACCTAGTCCACAGTGAGACAAAAATATCTTCTAAATTTTTAAATTAATTGTTTGAACAAAAAAACAAAACAGTATACCAATACGCTTAAATAAGCATTTTTTGCATCTAAAATTGTATTAGTTCAGTTTGGAAAAAAAATTTGAAATGGTCAAAATATTGTTTTAAAAAATGTCAAAAATGTCTCACTGTGTACCATCAGTCCTGCACAATGAGACACCGGTTTTTTTTTCATGTTACACTTGACTTAAAACATATTAATTTGTGTACCTTGACTTAGCGAACATTCGCATTTTTAAAAGAAGTTGGAAAGCATATATATCTGCTCAAATGTTTAGTTTTCATTGCACTTGGTGGCGGTAAAAGCATAACGATATCGGACTGGTTCACAGAAGCTAAATCGGGTATTTATGGAAATGTAAATCCATTGGTTTTTAGGCCCTTCCCAAGGTAGGACACTTCATAATTCTTTGCTGCGTCCTTCCCTTTCAATATCTTTGCCACGAAGAAGACATCGTTCGGGAACCGAACCAGAACACAGTCGTCAACGATAGGTTCCCGTTCTAATTCTTGAAACTCCTGTAAACGATTCTTCTTCATCTGATGATTGATCATCATAAATTATCTGGAAGTACAATTTCTCTAGAAAATTGAATTCATAGAGATATTACCATTGTTTACCTGAGAATCATCTTCGTCATCTGATGTGTTGTCATTGTCACTATCTTGAGTCCTTGAATTTTTCGTAGTCTTGTTAAATAAATTCTTGGTGAGACGTTTTATTTCTTTGCTTTTTTGCATTTTCAACTGATTATTTAATTTTTTCTCTGTTTTTGTAGCAATAAGGCCCTTTTCTGGTCTATCTGTCAACACTGTGCTTCTTCCAGATTATTTCTTCTTTCGTGGTAAAGCTTTAAGAAATCCACGAAATATATTCTTGGAAATAAATTCTGTTTCCTTTTCTTGATTGCGGTTGTTAACAACTACTTCAGGTTCTTAATTTTCTTTATATTCAGGTTCAATAGATCTTTCTTCAATAGAAGTAGAGGCCTCAAGATGTTCTAGAGGTCTATCAGTTACTGAGGAAGTAAAAAAATCAGCATCTGTAAATACACACAAAAGGGAATATTCCGGACCTCTTGAAGCCCGAAATTATATTTGAAGGTGTGACGGCCTTTGGTAGAGCTCTTCTAGTCATTTCAGCAAGTTGGTAGGGGAGGGTTGTACTAGGTGAAACGGTGTACTAAGTGAGACAACTGGAATATTTTTTTAAATTTCCCTCCAAATTCTGTCTGTGCTCAGTGGGTGATTAACATAACCAAGGCACACTTCTCTATGAAATTTCACGTTGTTCTGTTTAAACTTGACGGATTTTTGAGGTGAAAATTAAATTCAAGGTAAGCCAGTTACTTTCGTATGTTTTTAGATACCTAATCTGTACCTATTATCCACTGATGAGAAAATAGTAGGTTTTCCTATTCTGGGTTTTCCCACGAACTGAATTTTGATCGGCCGATTAGATACTCAGTCACCATATTGCAGCGAAAATTGCTGTTTGGTGTTGAAGCTTTGTCTTAGATGGCGCCACGATCAAATTTCGACCGTTATAATCTGTAAACAATACATTTTGTGGAATATTAGTAATATGATGTAATGTTTATACCTTTTGGTTACTAACCTCACTTTCCACGTAGCCATATAGCCCATTTTTAACATAAATGCGATTTATAGGGGTTTTCAATTTACAAAACGAAAAAGTACTAAGTGAGACAACATACTTCGTACTAAGTGAGACTGTCTCAGTTAGTACTATCTATACTAATCCAAATATATGGATAATGCATAGAGGGATAATGTTGAAATTTCATGCTATTGCACAAACTTCACTTCAATTTTATATGCCGCGGAAGCCTAAACTAAGAAAAATTGGCAATACAAGTGCTGAAACCATGAAGTATGCCGTTAATTTAGTTTGTAATGAAAACTTTTCTATGAGGGCTGCTGCTGATCAGTGTAACATCAAATTTCAGACGCTAGCGAGGTATGTAAAGAAAAAGCGAGAAAATCCCGATGCCAAATTGGAACCAAATTATCTGTACGGACAAGTATTTAAGCCTGATTAGGAAAAAATACTCACAGACTATCTAATTACTTGCAGTAATCCAGTATGGATTAACTCAATGGATTAACTGAAGAAGACACAAGGAAGTTAGCCTATGAGCTCGCAATCAAAAATAATTTGAAGGTCCTTTTAATGTCTTGGGAACAAAAAAAGTGGCTGGCAAAGACTGGCGTAGGGCTTTCATGGCAAGAAATAAAGAATTATCCATTCGCAAACCAGAGGCATATAGTCTGTCGCACCTAACTTCCTTTAGTTATTTTTTAATAATTTGCGAAGAATTTTGCAGAAATACCCTAGTCTGACAGATGGGTCCTGTATATTTAATTTTGATGAAACTGGTACCTACGCAAACAGTTCAAATTCCAAAACGAATTCTTGCACCAATAGGTGTCAAATAAGTATATTAGTCTACAAGCGAGGAAAGGGGGGAAACAGTAACAATATGTGGAATAATATCGGCCGCTGGAACGTTTCTACCCCCTGCTCTGATATTCCCTCGAAAAAAATTCAAAAACCACATGATGAAGGACGGTCGTACGGCGCCTTAGGTCTTGCCAACCCAAGTGGCTGGATGAAATCAGATATTTTTCTCGATGATTTAAATCATCTTATTGCTCATACTCACTCATCTAAGGAAAATCCTTCCCTACTTATATATGACAACCACGAAAGTCACATCAGCGTAACAGTTGTAGAAAGAGCCCAAGAAGTTGGTGTTCACATTTTGACACTTTCCCCTCACTGCAGCAATAAGCTGCAACCTTTGGACATTTCTATTTATGGGCCTTTTAAGGCATATAATAATGTCGCATGCGATAAGTGGATGCTTCAACATCCTGGCATTCCAATGACGAATTACGATTCAGCAGGGCGGATTTCAGAAGCGTTAGAAAAATCTTTTACGCCAAGCAATATAATCGCAGGATTCTAAAAGTCAGCCATCCACCCTTTTAATCCTGAAATATTTACGGAGGCTGATTTCTTGACTTCGTTTGTCACTGACCGACCTAATCCCAGCAAACCACAGAACCATAGGGAAACTGAAGATGGAGGAGCCCAATCGGGACCATCCCACACCAATGATTTGCCTTTACAAGAGGAAGCAGAGAACGACGAGAATGACCAGATTCAAATTCAGACTACTCGTAACTTAATCGAAAAGACGCTCCCAAAAATACAGTGATGGACGAGACTAACTTCATTTCATCCGAAGATGTTCGAGGATTTCTTAAAGCGCAACCAAGAAAGCAGGTCAGAAAAGGTAGAGAAAGAGGAAGAAGCACAGTAATTACAGAAACGCCTGAGAAGGATAAATTAATAGGAAAAGAATAAAAGAAAGGTCAAAGGAATTAACTCAAGAGGTTAAACGAAACATAGGAGAGCTACAGAAAACTGGAGGTGATGAATCAACTTGCAAGACCAAGAAAATAAGGAAACGACGACGGAATTTGGCAGATACTGATACTTCAGATTACGAAGTCCTTTTAGAAACCGAAGACTGGGTATCAGATAATGACGCAGAAAAAGAAAATTCTGTTGTGACGAAAGAAGATGTTTCAGAGGGCAAGTTCATCCTAACTAGAGAATTTTTTTTTATGTTGCCAAAGTTATTGGGATGACAGACGATGAATTCGAATTATCATTTCTTCGTAAGAGTGCTAAATTTTCCAATTCCTTCCTGTTCCCGACTATGCCAGATACATCTTTCATTACTTTGAATGACATAGCTATGATACTCCCAGAACCTATTCCAGGCACTACCAATCGGCAATCTTTAATTTACAAATTCGGAATCAACTTCAGTTCAGTTAGCATTCCATAGTTTTTTTAACACCATAAAATTATTATTATATGTTAAGGTAACCATATCTGATATCGCATTATTCGTATTAGCAATATTTTTCTACGTCTCAGTTTGTACCTGTACTTGTCTCACTCAGTACATATTTAGATACCAACTGAGACGAAAACATTCACAAATAAATTTATATTTTGTTTTTTCTATGATATTATCTTTAGTTTCTGTTAGGGCTCTCATGAGCGCAAATAGTTGTATTATTGACTGAACCAAAGAGTTTCCAGATATTTCTTTAAATAAAAAATTTAGAACCAAAAAGGCAAATGTCGTCTCACTTATTACTACCCTCCCCTATATAGTAATGGGAATACCAGGATTTTAAGCCAGCCCGATATCGACTTCTACATTATAGTATGCCTTCAATGGCCCAAAGACTGTTACACCTAATGAATGCATTTTATGGCTACAGTGCGGGGGCAGTGTTAACATTATGACTCCATGTTGCTTGGCCATGTTTGAAACTTGAATACCCATATAGGATTCGTGGTTATCACATATGAGTAAAGTGGGGTTATCTTTTGTACTACTTGTGTATTTGATGAAATGTTCCATTACAGAAACAAAAAGTTCTGTTGTCATCAACCTGGATGAATTAGCTAGGCCAAGTATTCCAGTTGGTGCCCCATTAATCATATGCTGTTTGAAATTTTTCCTAGGAAAAATCATTATTGGAGGTATAAATGTCCCTGCACCTGAAATACCCACCAAGAGATATACTAGTTCTCCCCTCTCACCACTAGTGC